TTGTGTATGGTGTTACCTTGGTTCTTCATGGCACTTGATGAGTTGTTCCTCCGTCAGTATTGATTCTGATTCAACAGGCGGAAATTCGGTCGTCGGTTTTCCAGTAGGTGGCGCGATAGCACAAGCTTATGGTTTTCCTTACCTGAGCTGCCTCCAGCTCCATTTGAAAGTTGGTCCATTCTACCTCTACCGCTTCTGTCGGAGATGTGGCTCTGTATCCTCGCGATGGCTTCTTGCGCCTCCAGGGGCCACTGAGGCCTTCCTGCTGCCGTTGTCACTGGCTGTGCCCGCTTCCCTGGCGCCCAGGATCCCTGGCGGGAGGGAGTCGGGGTGGGACGGGCACCTCAGAGGCCAGGGCTGCTTCCCATCACCCCCTGTGGCTCTCTGACGGGCTCAGGCCCCACAGCCAGAGCCAGGCTGCTGTTCCCTAGCTCTGCCTTCCCTCTGCGTTCCAGTCCACCAGCTTTAAACGTACAGACATGTAGGATTTTCCACCATACTGGTGTGTGGAGCAGAGGCACTTTTGCTGAACTGCGAATGCTTTACTGGGTGTAGGCTGAAGGGGAGCTTCTTATTCCACCATGTTGCTGACGTCACTCTAATACAACTGATTTTAAATAGGTCCAGATGTTGGATGCGGCAGACAAAGAACTCAAAATGACTTTACAAATACGTTCAAAGAATTAAAGTAATCCTTTAAATTAAAGGGAAAGATATGCTCAATGAATAAATAGAGAATCTCAACCAGAGAAATAGAAACTATCCATAATAGAAATTATACAGGTCAAACGTACAATAACTGAAACCTAAATAGGCTCAACGACAGTTTGGAGATGGCAGATAAACTTGAATACAGATCAACAGAAATTATCCAACCAAAAAAGAGGGAAATGTTTGAATAAAAATGAACAAAATTTCAGAGACCTACAAGACAATATGAAGCACCCCAACATACATATAACTGGAATCCCAGATAAAGAAAAGAGCATAAAAATTGGAAGAACTAATCACCAAAATCTTCCCAAATTTGGTAGGAAAGTTAGATTCAAAAAGCTCAACAAAGCCCCAAAGAGATAAATGAAAATAAAATCACTCCTAGGAAAATCACAGTTAAACTGCAAAAAAGCTAAAGAGAAAGACTTGAAAGCATCCAGAGAAAAATGCCATTTTATGTGTGAAGAACAACAATAAATTAATTGCTGACTTCTCACCAAAGACTATGAAAGCCAGAAGATACTGGAACAATATATTGAAAGTTCTGAAGGGAAAAAAGGTATCACTAACTATTCTATAACTGGATAAACAACACTTCAAATAAGTAAGTGAAATAAAGACATTTTCAATAAACAAAACCGGAGAGACTTTATTGCCATCAACTCCCTACAAGAAATTTCAAAGGAAGAACTTTAGCCTGAAGGGCAACTGGAACCTATACAAAAAAATTTTAATGGTAAATATCTGGATAAACATTTCTAAATTACATATTTTTTCTTTACACCTTTAAAAGATATAACTATCTAAATTAAAATGTATAAGTCACTAGCAACAGGTTTATAACAAACATCTAATATATCAACACAACAATAGCACTATGAAAATATAATAATAGGTATATAAAAATATATTATTGCAAGATTTCTATATTTTACCTTAAGTAATTCAATATTCACTCTAAGTTAATCTAAGTTTAAGATGCATATGTAATCTCTAGAGCAACAACTTTTAAAAGGACAAAAACATGAAGCTAGAATGCCAAGAAAGAAATGAAAATGAAATAGTGAAAAATATCTGATTAAAACAAAATGATGCAGGAAGAGAAGAACAGAGAAAGACAAAAAGAAACAGAAGACAGAAAACAAACTGCAACAGAGAAGATCTAAGTGCAACCATATCAATAATTAACTGGAAATAGACTAATATTCCAATCAAAAGACAGAGATTATTAAAACTAGATTTAAAATCTAAGACCCAATTTTATGCTGTCAACAAAACACATCCTTTAAATATAAAGGCATAAATGACTAAAAGTAAACGGTTAGGAAGAATATTCTATGCAAACAATAAGCATAAAAAGATGAAGTGGCTGTATTAATAGCAGAGAAAATAAATTTCATAACAAGAGATATCACTGAATACAAGTGGAGGGCCACTTCATAATGACAAAATGGCCAATACATCAGACAAATATAGCAATTATAATTTAGATGTGATTAATAACAAAATTCCAAAATACATGAAGTACAAAATACACAAAATACAGACAGAACTAAAAGAAGAAAGAGGTGAATCCACAATCACAAAGACTCGAACATACTTACCTCAGAACTTCACAATCAGGTAAAAATATTAGTAAGAACATTGAATGACAGTATCAATCACCTTAATCTAACGAACTTTCAAAACATGAAACCCAATACCTGCAAAATACACCCACTCTTTCAAGTCCATATGGAGTATCTACCAAGATAAACCACATACAGGACTATAAAACAACTCTCAATAGGTTTCAAAATATTAAAATGTTACAGACTATATTATCTTATTGCAACAGAATTAAATTAAAAATCAACAAAAAATAAAACATCTGGAAGTGCTCACAAATATCTGGAAATTAAAAACTTACTTTTAAAGAAACCATAAAAATCATAAAGTAAATTGGAAAATATTTTGAGCTGAATTATAATGAAATTTGGTAAGTGATAAATTAGGTTGCACTAAAATTTAAAACTTCTGTGCTCTGAAAAAATTATTATGCCAAAATGAAAATGTTTTCAAAATATATCTGATTAAGAACAGAGAGCTATAACATAAAGAATACTCAATGCTCAGTAATATTAATAAGAAAACAAACAACCCAATTAAAAATTAGGCAAAAGTATCTGAACAGACACTTCACCAAAGAAGATATATGACCATCAGAAAAGCACATGAAAACATGATAATACCATTAGGAAAATTCAAATTAAAATCAAAATTAGACATCAGATACCAAATTGCAGAATGACTAAAATTAAAAATACAACACCAAGGACAAGCAAGCATGTGAAGTGACTGGAACTCTAGAACACTGATGATAGCAAAGTCTATATAACTATTCCACAGAAATACTTTCATTCTGGCTCTCCAAAAAAACAAACTAATCCAGAAATAAGCAGTAAAAAAAAAAAAAGTTTTTAATTGTCGGAAAAATACTTTTTATTTATTTAATTTTCTATTCATTTGATACTTTTTAAACTAACTCAATTTCTGGGTGACTAACAGTCAATTGCCACTTAAAAAAATCAGTTCATGGGTGAAAACAACGAGACCCAGTAAGCAGCTTCAGAGAAAGTGAATGTGAAACTGTTAGTCACTCAGTCGTGTCTGACTCTTTGCAACACCATGGACTGTAGCCCACCAGGCTCCTCTGTCCATGGAATTCTCCAGGGAAGAATACTGGAGTGGGTGGCCATTTCCTTCTCCAGCGGATCTTCCCAACCAAGGAATGGAACCCAGGTCTCCCGCATTGCAGCCAGCGAGCCACCAAGGAATCCCAAGCAGAGAACTTTCCATCAGATTTGTAGATTCATGAGAAATGAAGAGGAGGCAGAAATCCAGGCACCGAGTCTGATCTGCCTCAATTCAACAGCTTACTATCCTCCTTCCACGCCACAGTCCTGGGTCTGCTTGAGATGAATGAGACATCACACCCAGCCTCTGCTTGATTCTCTTGGAACAGAGTCTGGGATTTCACGGAGACGAGCAGCAACAGCAGCACTAGGCAAGACCAAGGTCGAGCTGTTTCTGCCCCTAAACTGTGGCCCACGCATCAAGTTCGGATCTGTTAACAGTTTTCGTTACTTTAGTAGGACCTTTATAGCACAAAGGATTTTGCCACAAACTGAAGACAAGCCATGTGGTAGAAGATGACAATAAATGAGTCTCCCGAGAAAGAGAAATTACCAAAATACTGCCTCTTTGAGTATTCTCCAGATCCCTTGGTCTATCTAAATGAATGACTAAAGAACACGGCCACCCCAAGGAGTGAGACAGTACATCAAAATCGAAGGACAGACGGCTCTCAGTAACCCAAGGAGCTGACAGACACGGTACCTCAGCCTCTATGACTGACTTTGACAAATAATGACCTACACGACTTGCTTGCGTGAGACACAAGTTGTCTCACACCACACCAAGGGAAGGGAAAAGAAGTGAGAAATGCAGATCTCCTCCATCCTGGACATGTGGAACAGATACACATGTGAACACAGTTCAAAACCACAATAGTAGCCTTTGTATTCCCAGGGAAGAACTCTTAGCTAAGACAACAGCATATGTGTGGTGACGTACTCGAAAATTTTATTTTTGCTAAAATTCAGAACTTTGTAAGAATTAAATGATAGGGCTTGACCAACTGGGTCAGAGATGTTGACAGAACTTTCAAAGAAACTATTAAAGAAAGCAGTGTTAAAGAAGAGCATGATCCCTTAGACAAAACAGCACAAGTTACACACACCCTGCTCCTCACCACCCCTAAAAATAAGTCCCAGGACTTTACCCTAACCTCGCTATTGTGGCCGACCTCCCTCTTTTCTGAGGTAATGTCTATAAATCTTGGCATCCAGTGTGCCTTTAAACCACATGTCAGCTATTAGCAATGGTGTTTTTCCCGACAGCAAACTGGTAACATTAAAGAACAGAAACGAATAGCATTGTGCTTGCAAAGTCATTTTACAACCATTAACGGCAACAACCATTTTACGGGGGACGTGGCACTACCTGGGAGCCCAAGGGCCATAATAGATCTTCATCCTCTTTGCCAGTAAAACGAGAAGTGTGGTGAAAACGAAATCCATACCTTGGGCTTATTTTCATGACAGCTGGATTAGTGATACTTCTCGCGCCAGAAGATTCTCTCCAAGGAATGTCTGTGCTCAGGGCATCCTCCGAGCAGGCAGGCCCCCGGAGCCTCCCTGCAAGCCTGAAGCGGTGGTGGCCCCACACGACCACACAGCCCTCACCTTTCCTTTTGGTTGCGTAAAATCCAACAGCTGCTCCATCTCGCCACAGAATCTTAGCCTCCTCCTTCACGGAGTGAGGTAAAAAAAACATGTCATCATCATCCAAATTCCTTTCTAGTCTTCCAAAAATAACGACGTTCAGAATGAAAAGCACAATCCTTTCCCCAAATGACTGAACCTTTGAAGGAAAAACAAAAAGAACATCTAAGTAAGACAAGAAGGGAAAGTCAGACACAATAAACTCTAGGCTTGGAACCAACCCGCACGCCGGGGGCCAGGTGTGGGCGCCCCCGCCCCGCGGTTCTTCTCCTGCTTGAGATCCAAACTGGGGGTCACAGTTTCTCACAGAGGTTTTCTCAGCCCTGGCCTTTCACACCCACCCTGGCCTCGAGGGGCAGGGGGCAGGGCCAGAAAGGCCCCCTTGGTCTCCAGAGCCTCAGACGTGGAGCGTGAAGAGACAGAGATCAGTCAGTCACATATCAGTGAAACAGAAGGTGACTTCCCGGCAAGCCATTTCAGCAGAAACACTGGATGTATCCAGAGAGGAAACCCAGTCTGCCATCTTTAACGACAGCTCCAAAATTCTGACCTTCGGAAGGAAGGTAAATAACAGAGGGTCATTATTGGTGTACAGTCGCTACACCAAGATCAACTGGTTTTCAATGACTTGTGACAGATTTTGAGCACATGCTAGTGTCTCAACCCCACAGAGTTACTGGAACTCAAGGCCCAGCCCCTCCTAAGGCTACATATGGAACCGTCTCTCACCTATCGCAGTGTCACAACAATTGAGGGAACTGTACTTTGGTCAAGGTCAAGCCCACAGAAGGGCTTTATCAGTAACAAGTCAAAATGACTTCCTGTTCCTGCCTGTCGGCATTCTCTGCATTCAAATAGCCCGTGGCTGGCACAGTGCAGTTGCTAGTCGTGTCCACTCTTTGCACCCCCATGGACTGCAGCATGCCAGGCTTCCTTGTCCATCACCAACTCCAAGAGGTTGCGCAAACTCATGTCCGTTGAGTCAGTGATGCTATCCAACCATCTGATCCTCTCTCATCCCCTTCTCCTCCCATCTTCAATCTTTCCCAGCATCAGGGTCTTTTCTAGTGAGTCAGTTCTTCGCATCAGGTGGCCAAAGTATTGGAGCTTCAGCTTCAGCATCAGTCCTTCTAATGAATATTCAGGGTTGATTTCCTTTAGGATTGACTGGTTTGATCTCCTTGCAGTCCAAGGGGATCTCAAGAGTCTTCTCCTACTCCTCAGCTCAAAAGCATCAATTCTTTGGCACTCAGCCTTCTTTATGTTCCAACTCTCATATCCATACATGACTACTGGAAAAACCATAGCTTTGACTATATAGACCTTCATTGGCAAAGTAATGTCTCTGCTTTTTAATATGCTGTCTAGGTTAGGTTTTCTTCCAAACAGCAAGCGTCTTCATTTCACGGCTGGCACAGGTGGTACAAATGAAGGCCTCCTGCACCCACAGTAGATGTAACTAATTAATCCCCATTCTATGTGACTGAGCCCAGATACAGTCTAAATTCAGTCCTCTGGACAAATACAAGAAACCACTAAAATGTGGCACTTGAGGTAAAATCAAACAGCCAGTGACACAATGACAGTATTATTAGATTTTACTCCAACATTCCCATATGACAGCCTAAGGGTCTGGATTTTTATCACCCCTTCGTATGCACCACGATGAAATCAGCAAGAGTATTATTAATGCCTGGGCTGAGACTGCCACCCACATGCTACCAGTTGATTCTTCCCAGCCACGAGGGAAATCCTGGTTTACAGGTGAGGAGACTGGAGCTCAAAGAAGGTAAGCAGTTCCATTTGTTGATTTCACTGCCTCATTCACAAGAGTTAAGACAAGACAGTTGATGAGGGCTCTGCCAGGCCAGATCTGAAACCCCAGACCAGGACATCTGCATCCCAGTGGACCTGCTGCAGCCCAGAAGGCTGCTCCCCTATGCATTTTCATCCATTAGGGCTCTAGGAGAGGGAGCTGCTGCAGCGTGCATGCTCAACTGCAGCCCCCTGGCCTGTAGCCCACCAGGCTCCTCTGTCCATGGGATTTCCCAGGCAGGAATACTAGAGTGGGTTGCCATCCCTCCTTCAGGGGATCTTCCTGACCCAGGGACTGAACCCACTTCTCCTGCACTGCAGGCATTTTCTTTTCCACTGTGCCACATGGGAAGTCTGTAAGTTTGACATAAATATGATGCTTGGTTTTATATTTAATGTGTGCTATGCTCAGTTGCTTCAGTCATGTCCAACGCTTTGTGACGCCATGGATTGTGGCCCACCAGGCTCTGTCCAGGTGATTCTCCAGGCAAGAATACTGGAGTGGGTTTCCATTTCCTTCTCCAGAGGATCTTTCTCACTCAGGGATTGAACCTGGGTCTCCTGGATTGCAGACAGATTCTTTTACTGCTGAGCCACCAGGGAAGCCCTTTATATTTAATACTTGACCCTTAGATATTTATCATCATCATCATCACTTGTGGTTGTGGCTTCTCAACTTGGATTTGCTGGGAGAGCTTCAGCAACTCACTAGTCGAGGGAGAAGACTGCCTCAGTGCTCTCTCAAACACTTGTATGCTTTTCAGATGCTTCAATAATAAAAATAAATCAGCTTTCAGCCCTCTAACAAATGGCACAAAGTGCTTAGTGCCAATAAACTTATTAATTGGCCCAGAACGCAAACTATTTCACCTTTATCTGGAGCCAAACCTTAGATGAGAAAAAGATTTGCAAAAGCCACACCAGCTTAACTCTGAGAAGCCACCCTAATTTTGTATTTCAGACAGTAGCAGCCAAATCAAGTTCTGACTTTAAGAATAACTAGTTCATCACGAAACTCAACGGGTGTGATGTGGGAGGTTATATTTTTCAACTTATAAAACCAAAAAGTTCAGAGGAAAGCCAGAAGAGAAAAACAGATTGCATCTGGAGAAGGGAAATAACCAATCAAAACCTGGCAGGAGAAGAAAGGAAAAAAGAAATGCACTTAATTTGTCCAATTTCATTATGGGGGGGGCGGGGAAATGTGTGACATGTGATTCTGACTTAGAGACATTTCTGAAAGCAAAAAACTAAGATCTGGTTCTAATCCCTCAATTAGGACCACTAATGATGTTCACAGAAAGAACACTAAGGAAGTTGGGTTTCAGTTTGGTTTGGTTTGGTAATTTGTGAAGAAGAGCTGGCTAAGAAATAGAATGCAATTAAAAGGAAAGAAGTCAAGACCCCATGTTCTATAAATTGGAGGAAAACTATCCCCACACACAGCTGGGGCAGACAGATCTTTACAACCTGGTTCATTAAGTGGAATTAACACTCAAGTTTCTGTTCACAGCATTAGCCACATTTTCAGAAAATGTGAGGGCTTTTCCTCATCTAAATTTAGAATTGATACACAAAGGAAGTTACCACTCTTATTCTGGAAAAAAAAAATATATATATATATATATTTAAAGAGCAACCCAGACTCTTCCTGGAATTTAGAACACCCAGTTGCTCATTCCACCTGCTTCAGTATGGACAGTGACAGACCGCTACGTCAGGCAGCCTCACTGAGTACATCATGCTTATTTGCTGAACCTCCAGCCATCATTAATTTACTGGAAGAAAGCCCTTTTCAAAATAATATCTATCACTTCAATTAAAACCAGACCTGAAAACTTCCTGCCTTTTGTGACAATATGGATGGAACTAGAGGGCATGATGCTGAGTGAAATAAGGGGAAAGACAAACACTGCATGACCTCACCTATAGTGTAACATTAAAGGGTCAAACTCATGGCCACAGAGACTTAGGGTGGCTGCAGGGTCTAGGCGTGGGGAAAAGGGAAAGATGATCAGCAGGTTCAAACTTCCAGTAATAAGATGGACACGTTCTGGGGGTCTAATACACAGCACAGTGATTGTAGCTAATGATACCTGTATTATATACTTGAAAGTTGCTAAGAGCATACGTCACCACACAAAAAGAAATGGCAGTTATGTGATGTGATGCAGGTTTAACTGACACTGTGGTGGTAATCATTTTGCAGTATATCAGTGTATCAAATCAAGACTGAGCACCTTAAACTTGTTCTTTAGTCGCTAAGTCGTATCTGACTCTTTTGCGACCCCATAGACTGTACGCTGCTAGGTTCCTCTGTCCATGTGATTTCCCAGGCCAGAATACTGGAGTGGGCTGCCATTTCCTCCTCCAGGGCATCTTCCCAACCCAAGCACTAAACCCACATCTTGGCAGGCAATTCTCTAACATTGAGCCCTCCTTAAACTTACACAGTGTTATATGTCAACTGCATGCATGTGTGCTAAGTCACTTCAGTCACGTCTGACTCTTTGTGACTGTGTGGACCACAGCCTGTCAGGCTCCTCTGTCCACAGGATTCTCCAGGCAAGAATACTGGAGTGAGTTTCCATGCCTGTCTCCAGGGGATCCTCCCAGCCCAGGGATTGAACCTGTGTCTCTTATGTCTCCTGTATTGGCAGGCAGTTTCTTTACCACTTATGCCACGTTATACCTCAACAAAGCTGGTGGGAGTGATAACCTTGAAACATACTTGAAAAAGATAACCCATAGAAAAGGGAGAAATATTTGCTAATAGTATATGCAATAAGAGCTTGCATCTAGAATATGGAAAAACTCCTACAACTCAACAGTAAAAAGTCAATCCACTTAAAAAGTGGGCCAAGGATATTAATAGCTACTTTCCCCAAAATGGACAATAAGTACATGAACATCCTTAGCCACAGGGAACCTTTACCCTCGCCATCCTCGGTCTCTATAAAGTCATAGCACCTCAAAGCCCACCAGTCCTGCCATCAGAGAGGCTAGAATTTGTGTCCAGTTAAATCACTCACTAGCTATGTGGCTCAGCTTCAATTTCTTTGTCTACAAAGCAAATACCTTAAAGATTCTGAAGTCAGATAGTCCCTGTCAAAAGTCTGGGTAATACATAGGCTAGCATCTAGCACAATGTCTAATTCATAGTAAGTACCAATAAATCTACTGGAATGTAATAAAACTTCCCTACACACTAGAGAGATGATATGGATTAACGTTTCAGAATTAAGACAGGAGAGGCCACTCAGGAAGGCAAGAGAGATTTACCAATAGCCAGATACCTGTTGCATATAGCCATTAACACTATTTTTCTTGAAGGTGGGGTGTTATAGATGGAACGGTGCCCACCAAAAAGATATTAAAGTCCTAACTCCCAGGGCTGTGAATGTGATTTATTTGGAAAGAAGTGACCTCACATCAAGGTGAGGTCATTAGGGTGGCCCCAATCCAACATGACAGGTGTCCATATAGAAAAGGGGAATTTAGACAGAGCCAGACAGGGACAGAGGGATGAGGATGGGAAGATACAGCGGGGAGCACCACTGATAAGCCAAGGAAAGCTGAAGTGAGGAGACAGGCCTGGAACAGATTCTCCCTCACCAGCCTTGGAAGAAACCGCCCCTGCCAACACCTTGCTTTTGGATTTCCAGCCTCTGTGACTGGGAAATAGCACATTTCTGTTGTTTAAACCAGCCAGTCTGCTGGCACTTTGTTAGAGCAGTCCTGTAAAATGAATCCACAGGGGTAGACTAACTTAGTAACATGATAATAAGTACACCAACCTTTACAACCCCTTTCACACTATCCACTTAAATTTGCAATGCCTCACCTTCATCAGACCTTCTCTTGAAGGATTAGAGGTTCTTAGTACATCTTCAGTGGTCCACCAGGACTCCTTCACATAAACAGCCACAACTGAAAGAGAAAGCCAAGAGAAAATGATGAAGTGCACGTGGCCATCAAAGGGGCAGTTTTATCAGCTTGCAGCCACTGTCAAGCACAGGAAAGTTTACGTGTGAGGAAAGAGATGATGTTTCTCGGATGAGCTGTCTGAGAGCACTGACCAGGACAGAGTGACCACTCTCACCTGAAAGGACTTCACAGGTGTCTGCAGAGATGGCCTGTTAACGACCCCAACACAGGATGTACCCCAGTGCTGTTGGATGCAAGAGGCTACACAGTAGTACTGACAAATTCAATGGGTGAGAATTACATTTTTTTTTTAAAGTCCAACTATATGACCCAACTTGGAACTCTGCAAATTTAGGCAAACCCAACATTATCTAAGGGCATGGAATGACCCCTTCATTATCCAGGGTGCTGGATTTGGCATTGGTTTCTTTTACATGCTTTTCTTTCATTCTCATGATGAAATTGACATCTGCATTCTTCTGAGGACACAGACATTCTGAGCAGGAAAGGCAATCAGCAAGGAGGGCTGAGGTCAGGCCCATCCCTCAGACCCGGGACTCCAAGCTTAATGCTCTTTCCAAGAGGCTGGAGATGGGTCAATTGTAGATGGGGCAAACTGTGCAGGGTTGGTGGGGGTCTTTGTGCAAGAGAACTCTGGGGCTAGGACCCACAGGAGACGGAGGATAGAGACATCTCTCCTACCCCACTCCTACCCCCACGCTCTGAGACAGTCACTGAGACCTGTTGATTCCACCCACTCTGAGTTTGGACATGGGGGCTTCCCTGGCGGCTCAGACAATAAAGAATCCACCTACAAGGCAGGAGACCTGAGTTTGACCCCTGGGTCAGGAAGTTCCCCCGGAGAAGGGAATGGTTACCCACTCCAGTATTCTTGCCTGGAGAATACCATTGACAGAGAAGCGTGGCAGGCTACAGTCCATGGGTTTGTAAAGAGTCAGACATGACTGAGCGACCAACACCTGCTGCTTAGTAGAGATGATCCTGGAACACCCTCAATCTCACCAGGCCCCAGATGTCTCATCGGAACTACCCAGGCTGATGAGCCAAGGTGGCTGACAAGTTCGGATGAGGATCAGATGTGAAACACCCAGCACAGGGCTAGGCAGGTAGGAGCACTCAGCATCTGCTAATTAACAAGCCAGTTCCTCCCTACTCCTGCTGCAGCCGCCGGGTCCCATCATTCCACCTGCTGCCTCCCGACAGGATCCACCCCCTCCAGAGCCCCGGATGCCCGCTGGTCTGTCCCCACCTGGTCCCCTGTCCCAGTTTCCCCTGCCAATCTTTCCATCCTGAGGGGCTGCTCCAAAGGCAAATCCAGTCACGGCCTCCACCTCTTATCTCCCAACAGGGCAGCTCTCCTTTTCTGGCTTTAAAAAATCACATTTTAAAACACTAAAGTCACCGTGGCTGCTTTCTGACTTTTTTTTTTAAGATTGTTTTTAAAAGAAGTTTTAGGGCTTCCCTGGTGGTTCAGTGGTAAAGAGTCTGCCCGCCAATGCAGGAGACATGGGGTTTGCTCCCTGATCCAGAAAGACCCCAAATGTTGCAGAGCAACTAAGCCCCTGCCCCACAGCTAGTGAGCCTGTGCTCTGGAGCCCAGAAGCCACAACCACTGAGCCCATGTGCTTTAGCTACTGAAGCCTGCACGCCCAGGAGCCCACGATCTGCAACAGGAGAAACCACCGCAATGGGAAGCCCGCGCACCATGACGCGAGCAGCCCCTACTCTCCGCAACTGGAGAAAAGCCCATGCGGCAACAAAGACCCAGCACGGCCAAAAATAAACACAATTATTTTAAAAAGCAAGTTAAGTGCTTTGAAAAGAGAGACAAGTTTTAGGTTCATGGCAAAATTGAGAGGAGCGAACAGAGATTTCTCATATTCCCCCTCCCCCCGACACACAACCCTTGTTATCATCATCCCCCACCAGCGTGGGACATTTGTTACAAACGATGGACCTAAACTGACACTTCATGATCACCCAACCTTTCCATCAGGGTTCACTCTTGTACATTCTATGGGTTTGGACAAATGTATCATCACACATACCTATCACTACGCTATCACACAGAGTATTTTTGTTGCCCTGAAAGTTCTCTGTGCTCTGCCTGCTCATCCCTTCTTACTACCTCCTACCCCTGGCAACCACTGATCTTTTTCTGTCTCCATAGTTTTGCCTTTTCCAGAAGGTCATAGAGTTGGAGTCATACAGTATATAGCATTTTCAGATTAGTTTCTTCCTGATGCAAAGAACTGACTCATTGGAAAAGACCCTGATGCTGGAAAAGACTGAAGGTGGGAGGAGAAGAGGACAACAGAGGATGAAATGGTTGGATCGCATCACTGACTCAATGGACATGAGTTTGAGGAAGCTCCGGGAGTTGGTGATGGACAGGGAAGACTGGCGTGCCACAGTCCACGGGGTCGCAGAGAGCCAGGCATGACTGATTGACTGAACTAACAGTGAAATGCTTTTAAGGTTGCTCTATGTCTGTTCACGGGGCTTCTCTCATAGATCAGTTGGTAAAAGAATCCACCTATAATGCAGGAGACCCCAGTTCAATTCCTGGGTGGGGAAGATCCCCTGGAGAAGGGATAGGCTACCCACTCCAGTATTCTTGGGCTTCCCTTGTGGCTCAGCTGATAAAAAATCTGCCTGCGATGCAGGAGACCTGGGTTCGATCCCTGGGTTGGGAAGATCCCCTGGAGAAGGGAAAGGCTACCCACTCCAGTATTCTGGCCTGAAGAATTCCATGGACTGTATAGAGTTGGACATGACTGAGCAACTTTCACTTTCACATGTCTGTTCATGGGGCTTCCCAGGTGGCGCTAGTGGTCAAGAATCTGCCTGCCAACGCGGGAGACACAAGACACACATGTTCTATCCCTGGGTCAGGAAGATCCCCTGGAGGAGGGCACAGCAACCCACTCCAGTATTCTCACCTGAAAAATTCCATGGACAAGAGCAGCCTGGGGGGGCTACAGTCTAAGGGGTCACAAAGAGTCAGACACGACTGAGTACATGTGTCTTTTCATAAAGACATAGATATTTCACAGCTCAAAATTATTTTCAGCACTGTACTCAGCGCTAAAATATTCCATTGTCTGAATGTACCTCCACATTTAGTCCTCCTCCACTATCTTTTTATACTACTTTTATTGCCATTTTTATACCTGCTTCTCAAGACAGGTATCTGAGCCGAGCCCCCAGGGGTCCAGGAGCCAGAAGATAAAAAAAAACACATCTTCCCAGTCAAGTCTTTTTAGCTGGAAAATTGAAGGAAAACAACCCAGAGTAGAAAACAAAAGTCCCTTGAACATTTAACGTCAGGCTCAAGACTTTAAAATAAATTTTGTGAGGCAATTGAGTTAAGCTGCCACCACCTTCCTCCCTATTCCTCTCTGCTCTTGGAGGAACTTAAGACCAAGTGATGACATTAGCTATTATTGAGCACTAGCTCTGCACAGCCAGTTCCTTCTTTCCAAAACCCAATAGCATCTAATTCACTGTCAGTTTCATACCAGTGGTGAATTTTGTCTTCTCCAACAATAGTTCCAAAACTGATAGAGCTGACTGAGACAGAGAAGAGCCAATTAAATGCTTGGCATCTGCCTTCATTTATTCAACTAAATTCATGCTCCAAATGGCACCTACTAGAACTTGCAGGAGGCTTATAAAACCATAAGGGTTATTTTCCTGCTTAACAAGGTGAATCAATAAAAGATGTTCCATTTACTAATATGGCGTATTATTTGTAATACAGATGTTCAATTTACTGAGACAGTTTCAAACAGGAAATGTGTTACGACTTGGTGTTTGTGCGGTGCCTTGCAAAGTTTCCCCGGGGCACTGCAGAGCATTAATTAGCCACACAAGTTGTCACAGAATAGATTGAATTTTTTTTTCAAAACTAATCTTAAACTGTTAGGTATACATAACAATGAAGGTGAAGTCTGATCAAATTTAATAGGCTTAAAATGAATTGTCTCAAAAACGACTCTTGAAAAAAAATCAGCCTTCCAAAGAACAGCAGCTTTTGATCAGAAAAGCCTGCTACCTAGTCAAGAGGAGACAGGCAGGGGAACAGGGGAGAGCCCTTGGAAAGAGGCTGTTTCCAGCTCAGCAGGACAAAAGGTGGGCCCTCGGGGGCCTGGCAGCCACTGCAGAGCAGCCTCAGGGCATCACTCCCGAGACACTGGGGCCAGCAGTTTCCGAGAGGCACAAAGTAGAAGCCACACATCTGTAGTTTTAAAAGACAAACAGAATCCTGATCAGTAGCCTCTGGCTCTCCACCACGCAGGACCTGGGAGACAGGACCCCTGCAAAAGACTGAGCCGTGCTGACAGCAGTCGGCAGGGCACTGTGGGTGACAGGCCAGCCTCACTGCTCTGATTTAATGCCCGTCTCCCGTGAGTGACAGGTGACCACAAAGAAGATGCCAGTAATGGACTGTACTCTGTGACACCCCAAGGTTTCCCAAACAAGTTAAGACAATGAGGCTGACTCCCAGTGGTGTGGCTTCATCAAGGCTCAGCAGGATGAACTGAATTCAACTAGCTGGGGCTGAGTTTCCAGATGCACAAATGGCCCAGCTCCCCAGAGGCCGCTGAGTAAGTCTGCATCCTTGCCCCTGGGAGTCAGTAGCCTGCAGAGAAGAGAGAGCTAAGCAAGCTGCTGCTATATGGGGCAGGATGTGACAGACGCTGGAATCGAGCTGGGAGCCAGAGTCCAGAGGACCCAGAGGAGGGGTCAGTTCTGCTGAGGGGCTGGGAAATTAGAAGACGCTTGCTCCTTAGAAGGAAAGCTATGATCAACCTAGACAGCATATTAAAAAGCAGAGACATTACTTTGCCAACAAAGGTCCATCTAGTCAAAGCTATGGTTTTTCCAGTAGTCACGTATGGATATGAGAGTTGGACTATAAAGAAAGCTGAGTGCTGAAGAATTGATGCTTTTGAACTGTGGTGTTAGAGAAGACTCTG